TGTGATAGAAAAAGATGAAACACTCCAACTTAATTTACACGTAAATTTAGAAAAATATTATCCATAAAGTAACGATTATATATTTTATCTCATTTAATTTATAATTTTTACATTTACTTCTTGTTGAGAAACTCTTCGTTAATCCGCTTTGCTAGTTTCGGAAATGGAATGACGGTGTACCGAGATTGATTCTATTCATGGCGTTTGCGAAGTGTATTTCCTATGCCTTTTCCCAGATTAATGTTGATTTTCAGGAATTATTAGCATTAGATAATCCTGTTTATAGAATTCATAATTTCACCTCATGCTCTCTGGCTGCTCTCAACATGTGCTTGTTTCTCATTGGTTAACAATTTGACCGTTGCGTTGTAACAGTTTAATTCGTATGATAAAAGCGCTTAATGCCCACCGAATGAACTGTAATGAATTATAAAGCTTTATCGGAAGTAACGAGAAAATGCGTTGGAAAGTTGTGGAAACTATCGTTCAAAATGGCGAGAGTTATACTCGTTACGCAGCACACCTGAGATATATGCGACTTAAGTTATGGAAATGGTGAACGATGCAGGGGTAAATGTGAATGTTACGTTAGGCAGTTAAAATAACATAGAAGGCTAAAAGATACTGTATAAACTTGTATGTGGAGACAAAGTATGACAATAAATGAAATAGCACATGCAGCATTTCAAGCAAAGCACATTTATTATTTATTATATTGATGTAACTGCACGGAGAGAATTTTCTTTTAAAATTTACCCTGAAAATATGGTAGTTGTGATACAATATTTTAAAGATTTTTATCATGCACCTTTCAGTAAAATTAATCAAACTTATACTTTTATACTTTATTGTAGTTTTATTAATGAATGAGAGATTTACATTAAAATTCTTCAAAATACAATACTGTCCCACTATCATATTATCAGAGTAAACTCTAAGAAAAAATTCCCTCCGTGTGATATCTCTTCTAAGCATAACGAAATAAGTAAAAAAAAGATTAATTCATCACTACACTGTTTTCAGTTGGCTGGATTAATAATTTTTTAACATGGTTTTTGACTAGATTTAAAAATTCTTTTTTCGAAATATATATAGTTCTTTTATTAGACTTCAATGATGATATCTAAATTACTTATCTTTTATCTATTAGAGCAAATACATAATTTGTGTGTAATAATTAGAAGATATTCTCTACAGTTCTAGTGCAGTTGCTTCTTTTTCCTTAGGAGATTCATTACTTAATACAAGTTCTCTTGGTACACGGGAGTTACAATGCACGTGCCTACTTAGTTTTCCCTAAGTTCCCCTCCGGTTTTACGTATGCCTCATTAATTACTGCCACCGTCTTTCAACACTCGGCTAAATGGTTGCACGATTCGGCGAAGTTGCTTATTGCTGCTCCGTTTCGCCGTTGCTCATTCAAGAAGTTCAAGACAAGTCTCGAACCATATTACTTCCGTACGAAGGATCGCTAAAAGGGATTCACGCTTATCCTTTAGCGGTACTATCGATTTTTTCAATTCATTAATATTCCTGATACGACGCGCTGCCTTTCGAAGCGAAAATTGGCCGATAACGCATTGTCGACTTTTTTTTTCAAATTCTACGCGATGGCGTTTTTTGATTACGAATTTGCGCTCGTTACCATCAAAGCGGCTAATTAAACGGCGTTTTTTTGTTAATTTTTCTGTACTCCAAACGAATGTTCGATAAATCATTCATTGGACTTGGCCACTGGGAATGCGACAATAAATTACTTTTTACCGCATAATTAATTGCAGTCCTAATAATTCGGTATGTTTACACAGCACACGTAGTCAAATGTGCGGCATGCGTTCTACGTTGGGCGTTACAAAGGTGATTAATCAACGCCACGCGAATTCCCGTAGTGTATAAACTAGAAATTAACGCCCGATCGATATGTGCGTAATACATTTGACTAATCTGATGAACGATTGAATTAATTTCATTTTTGTAATCCAGAAATGCTCCATGAAAGGCTGGTTTGAAAATAATTAACCTATAGATACAAGAGGGAGAGAGTATGCGTAAGTAATTACACATGTTTGAATAATGCGGATATCGTTCTAATTGAAATAGATGCATTAGAGATTATCTCAATTTCTATATCGAAAAGATATACGGAAGATTAAGGCTTGTTGGTACAAGAAATAAATTAACATTCCGTTTATGTATTTATGACGAAAAAAGCAATGGAAAAGTTATCGCAAAGTATCTCTTTTATGACATGTACTTTTCCCTAAGATTCATTTAAATCAAACAAGTATTGCAATAAAAAAAAGAAAAAATCTGATTCAAAAAGAGGCAAGTAAATTTTCAAATAATTTCATGTTATTGTTCTTCAGCTTGAAAGAGTAGAGGTCACGGCACACACAAAAATGTAAACAGTAAAAAGTAAGCAGTAAGAAAATCAACATGTTGGATTTGCTATTGCTTACGTTATAGCCTTACAGTCTGTGATTAATCAATTTACTTACTGCTTATGTTTTACTGCTTAAGTCTTTTGTATACTATGGTCCTAAATCTACGTGACAAATTAGTTAAAAGAAAAGTTTCTGTTACCATGCGACATGTATTTTGAGTAAAAATGAAAAGAACAGTAACTTATTATCATAAAATGATTGAAATCAGACGTAAATGTATATAGAGGGAATACATTAACTCATATATTTAGTTACAACTTAACTCTGACAAAATTTATATTTAATACTTCTATTATTTAATTACATTTAATATTTCTATATAATTTGTATTTAATATTTCTATATTAGTAATAAGGTACAACTACAAGGAAATAGTTTATATTTATTTTTCTGTTACATTGTGCTATTTAATCATTACAAAGTAACTTTAAAGATATAATTTTTACCAAGAAGTACATATCTGGGATCTGTTTCTTATTTTTATTATGATTTTATTAGTTTAATGTGAAATTATCGTGTAGACAACTTACATTGTGATATGTTTGTTCCACTATGGGAGCAAGTTAGCTACAATGTAGCATGTTCGTATTTCACTTACTACAAAAAAACTATGCAGTATATAGAACATATTCTATATAGTATATACATAGAACGTTCCTGACATGAAAACGTAGAGAATGGTTCTCTCTATCATTTTAGTACATTTTAATCATAATTAATTTAAAAAGTGTAATACCGAAATTGTGTATGGAGAAAATTCTCTCTGTATATTCCAAAGAGCCTTGGTCTCATCTACGATTTTTCCAAGTCATAGAATTTGGTCGACTGTTGACAATATCTTCTCTTCGATATTTATTTATATTTGAGGAACAAAATAGATTTACTTTAAGGGAAAGAAGTCTCAAACAGAAATCAGACTTTTGATATGAATTCGTACTCTAACAAATCTACATTTATTAAAAATGTAGTATGTTGCTTGCTCAGTGCACTTTATTGTAAAGAAACATTTCAATTGTATGCGAAGTAACCGTTTCAATATCAAATTAATCATTACACGTGAGACATTAATTCTATGCAAACAGAATATACCGTATTGTATTATGCTTATAATGTTCCCTTGTCAATCTGAACGACCCCGAGTTTCAGGCGAATCGAGTTGCACAAAGTATAGGTACGTGATTATCGACCAACAGAATTCGTAACATGATGAAGCGATGAATTCTGTGATGAAGTTCAAACCTTCTGAGGTACCCCGCTTGAACTCGGAATATTAATATAACTAAAGGGAAGACGAAGCAAGGAGGGGAAGTCGGAATGCAATCACGAAATATTTGAATCAGGCGATAGACCGTGTTTTGCGCGACAGTAAACGTTTCACGGCGCACAGTATATTTATCGCGACCTCACGATACTTGCCCTTGTCTTGAATGGGCGCACGTGCGCCGAATTCAGCCGCGGGGCCGACGACCATTATTCTCCCGGTGGACGCAGTCCTGTTGCATCTCGTATTCTGTGGCGTCGGCACACACCGCGCTGGAGCCCAAACTTGATCCCGCAGCGGCACGTGCTCGAGTACAATCTGGCCCAGATCCTGGCCGGAAACGGAATGCATTCGCGCCGTGTTTGTCGAAGGATTAAAGTAGTTTGCTCGCGCTGTCGTTTGGCCGCGGATAGACCGGAATTGAACGGGAAAGTAGACCAAAGCTCGGTCTCTGACGGATTCGGAGCTCTCCATCGATGCTCGTGCAAGTTGGAAACTAGCGAACTTTATAATCGTCGACGTGCATTAATTCGTCCACCCCAGTGCATTAGAACTGAAGATCACTAGCGAGACATTAATATTTACAAGTTTAAGAACAAATTATAGGTTGATTTATTTATTGAATTACTTTCAACAAGTAAAATATTTTACTCGAAAAGTGATATGTAATGCTGCAATCTTTGATTTTTATTTATGAATTTCTCTTCGACAATTTTAATTATATATAAGTCTCTTTTATATTTAATTACATCTTAATTATTTAGCGTAGTAAGTTTTTATATTTAACAAGAAAATATATAATAATTTGTTAAGGAATTTATATCTGAAAAGAGAATGATATAATTCTATATATAGTTAAAATAGATTTGTATTTTAATCCGATTGTATTTAATCCGAATTAAATTTAATATGTAGAATGTTATCAATTATTGATTGCGATTCTGTAATATGTTTGTTGAAACCGATGAGAGAAAAACTTCATGTAGCTTTTATCAGTATTAAAATCTGCGTAAATAATTGCTTTTTGACGCGAATTAGTATTTGAGAACAAAAAAGCAGCGACTAGGAAAACGTTCTCGGAATTGTTTATTCTGCTCACGTAACAGAAATAATTAAATTGCCTTCTATCATACCTTTTGCGACAGTAAAAGACTGTTGTCGACGAAGTGAGAATCTTTTCTCTCGTATCTGTTCGTAAATACGCTTTGACAAGGGTCGCGATTATTTACGGCTCACCCTTCGGAATAACATACGAGGCTTGACTGACATTCGATTTTTCTCGTTCTTTATCGCAGAAAGCCTTTGCGGGCGCCACGAGAAACGCTTACTGAATCACCTGCTGGCAAATTACAACACCTTGGAGCGACCGGTCGCGAATGAGAGCGAACCACTGGAGGTGAGGTTTGGCATCACTCTACAGCAAATCATCGACGTGGTAAGTTATCAAATCAACTCTTTTGTCACATATTTTAAGCGGCTCCTAGACGCTCAACATTTTGTACAATATTATTGATGCCCCATTTAATGAAATCCTAAATTGAAGACCGAGTTTTGACAGCATTGTTGTTGTACTGACCTATGCACATAGACTTTATAACACATACGAATACGAACAATAAATAACATTTACGAAATATCGACAGATTGTTACGTATTACATCAATGTCGTACGTACACATAATTTTCACGCAATCTTTTCTATTATATTAAAGCTGTTAGATTCTCTCATTTCTGAAAAATTACAATATTATTTTTTTATGTAATCCCTAATCCGAGTAAAGCATGTTTTATACATAAGAAATATAAAACTTTTATATGCAGTATATGTTGTTACAAATCGATGTCAGAAATCGATTATAAGACTGCAATTTTCCAATTTTTTTCATATGAAATTATATGCAATCCGGACTGTGTTATTATTTATACTTTAATTCTGGAGGATTTTTTCACATTTGTAAAAGTAATACATTATACGGAAAAATGGTATAAAAATGATTGCGTTCGATCGATGAAACACAGACGACTTTAGGATCCTCTTAAACAATTCAAAACAATCTGGAGCTCAATATATAGCTTCCAGACGATTAATAATATTGTGCAGTAAAATTAACTAGGAGTCGCTTTAGACATATTACATACACAGACATAAAACACACACATATCGTAATCTTAGTACACATTTATTGATGATATCATTATTGAAATCGTTATATCAACTATTTCAATACATCATGATTAAAGTCAAGATACTCATTTGATAGTGATTAGTCGAATATGTAATATTGCTAATATTGATAGCACATAACGATTATATATATATGAAATGTTAGAACATACTTAGATCTACAAATACAAATACTTAAATTGAGATCTTTCTATATTTAGATAATACTAGGTACGGTATATAATTTCTGTTAAAGTATCTAAACTTAGATACTTTTTTGGAAATATTTGGGTAATTAGGTATCTTTAGCAATTAAACTTAATTTACCTTTTGAAGTATCTAGGTACTTAAGTACTTTAGTGGAAATTGCATCCCGTACCTACCTAGTACTACCTAGATACGGAAAGATCTCAATGTAGGTAATTGTACCTGTGTATCTAGGTATGTTTCAACATATAAAATTGGTTATCTTAGCCATAGTTGCCTATCTTAAGCATAGTGAAGAGTAGCATGAATTTGCGGATGTATTTAAAATGTTAAGGGTGAATATCCATTATGAAGCGACTATTCTGCAGCCTCCGTGTGAACTCTCGAGATAAGAAGCGCCAAGATTAGCTGCGCAAGTTTTTGTACGTCTAAATATCGAGCTTATCTAAATGAGAGTATAGTTAAACGGGGACGAATGAGGTAAGATTGCATTACGTTCTCCGTCTTCGCACTTCCCTCACCGCCGTTATTTACTTCCATCAGCATTATATACAACATATACCATCTATATATGCGGTATATATATGCAACGAACATTACGGTTCTTAAGAAAAGATCTGAAAACGCATTCATAGTAAAATACGCTGGCAACACCAAAAAGAATTCAGCGTGCAGCCGTTAATTTTGTATTTAAAAAAATTTTCGTTCTGCGAAACGTTTCGAAAGAGGTTCACTGAATCTTTCCACGAATTATTTTGTGAATTCCACGAAAAAAAAAACAAATGAAATTGTAATTCAATTTTGCGCAAAAACTAGAAATTATTACGCTAACATTTTCATTTCGGATATATTTTATTATAGATGAGAAACAATTCGAGTTGAAATATTTCGATTTGGATGAGAAGCACGTCGAGCCGGATGTCAGTTCTTGGCAAGAAAAGTAGAATACATATATTTTCTGTGTGTACGGCAAAATATTAATAAATCCTATCTAAATAACTTTCCGTTCGTAGCAATCATACATATTAAATTTTCATCGATTGCGATATCGTGTATATCTTTTTCGTATCTTGATATTTTCTGATGCATGCATATTATATCAGCCAAGCTTGAAATTGCAAGCGTATCGAATGATCCCCGTAGACCAGTTGAAGAATAAGTCGATAGCGTTCTAGTTGTGAACATTATCGTGATTCGTATATAAATAACATACCGATTGATCAATATTTGATGAACATAACGAATGGATAGCATTCAAACGTTCATTAAGAATTTAAGATGCAGGAGTTTTTTCCCCCGATCTCCGATTACAATTATAAATGGACTGAGGGGAAAGTACGTCAAGATACTTGCAATCCACTTTGGTTCCACCAACCTGACGGAAGTAATATATAGCCGGGATTAAAGAAACCGATTGGAGGTGTTTCCTCTCAAAACATCCTTATGGTCAGAGTTAACGGCCGAGGGAATATATCTGTCACGCTGAGCCTCTTTATACCACAGGCTTCTGATATACTTTTCACTCGCAACGATCAAGACCGTAAAATTTTACAACGTTTTATGTACATCCTTCTCAAATGCTTCACCTTCATTTTAAATAATAAAGTTTATTCTTACTATTTGTCTGAAGTCTTAATATGATTATAAATGTAAGGTTGATGCAACTTAATTATAAAAAGCACAATACGTGTTTACAGCAAACGCGAGCCGCGCGCATGCCGCGCATGCTGCTGGCATTTCTTTTATTTATTCACAAAGGATATGATTATCCGGATAACACGAGCCTTTATCTTTCTTATTCGGTTTCGTGCCATCATTATTATTATTATTATTATTCTCATTGTTACAGTTATCGTTATATTCCGCCATAGCTTTTCCTTTAGAAGTTCATACAATCTGATATATTTTCTGTAAAAACAAAAGACCGCTATGTGTTCTGGACATTAAGAGCACAGATATTTCCAGAGCGAACTCTCTTTCTTCTCTCTAGTAGCAAAACATATTCCATTACAACCCCTGCTCGCCATCCTTACGTCCGCATCGTCGTTTCGCTAAGTCGTATCGCTCAACTGACTGTAGTTTTTGTCGTTGCCCTTTTCAAAGTATCGTTGCCTTTGGAAACGACGGCTGTATCTGTAGTTTTCTTATTCGGCGTGAGTTGCAACAAGAAATCCGGCAACATTAATGAATTAATTCATAAATCTTACAGTGCAAAATTTCTCTACTATTAACTTTCGAATAAAAGCCTTGAATTATTTTCTTTATATAGTTCATACAATAATTAACATTAAAATTCGTCATTTAATATTTTACAATTGAAATATGGGGGGGGGTATTATTATTATTATTTAAATAATTATTTTACAAATTTTACTGTTTAAATTATTTTTGAAATTATATTCTACTTAATAAAAAATTTAGTAAAGTGTAAAGTATACCTTGAACATTTATTTCATTATCACTGTTATCGATAAATAATTAAGTTAAAATAAATGTTAATTGCAAATATTAACACAACTCTTAAAACTATATAAAAAATATAAAAATAAAAGAAATTTTGATATTATTAAATAGTGATTACATTATGTTTCGAAATTGGGAATTAATCAGTTTGTGAAGCAAATAAAGCCAGCATTGAATTAATCGTATTAAGAATATTAATATTTCTATGTTTAATTAATGCACTGTAATATTCACATAGATACGTAAATAAAAATAAATCGAGCAATATTACATAATTATTATGGGATAAGCGTCACGTTATTCCTGATCATGAAATATAGACAACACAGCAACAAGGCGAATCCCTTTGACGGTTAATCAAGAGAATTGAAATCCATTGATATTTCATCTAACCATAGACTTTAGATCATAGATATGGACTGGCAATTACTATAGTATTTCTACTATTAGAGAGAGAAACATACCTTTCAACTATTTCTCTTTTTCAAAGTATCTGGAAATGTATAATATGTTGCGCGTATCAATTAAGCATATGGCACATTAAAATTACATCAGAATTAAAAATAATATATTGTATAAGGTGACCATTAGGATTGTATTGAAAATAAACCACTATATTATTTCTTCCTTCGTTTTTGACAATCGTTTGTTTGATTAGGGTCAGGTATTTGAGACTCAATTTTATTTGAGATATTATATAAAGTTTACAAGTATCGGCATGAACGTATTAATCATCGAAGGGAAAGTGTTTCTCATTGAGTACTTCTACAGTATAGGAGGCAAAAACTATACAGAAGCGTATCAGAGATTCCGCAATAAATATGAATCAACCAAAGGAACACACAAAGGATACCTTGCGAAGTTTCAAATTGTATGAAATTTTGTATACACATATATGTTACGTAAATTAATGAATTTAGAAAATATTAGTATGAAAAAACGGGATAAAATCATTTTTTTACGGGTAACGTTTTTAATTGTTTTTGTTATATTTCCAAAATAATTCAAAATATTAAAAGATATTTTGTACAAAAATTTTATAATAAAGTTACCTCTATTCACCTACATTAATAATATTTTTAACTTTTTCATTTTTTTAAATTTTGAACGTCTTTCTTTCGGCGGTTAATGTGTTCATGCTGATATTCATAAACTGGCTTGTACAACGGTTCAAATGAAATTAACGAGTCTCAAATCCTGGTACTAATCAGAAAAACGGTCATCGAAACGGAGGAAGAAAAATATTACAGTTTACTTACAACACAATTCTAATAGTTACTCTGTATTGTAACAAAAATAGACGGAGACTTCCTTATGGAAGGTATGGAGCTTTCCACACTCAGAGTTCCTGTAGGTGTTGAATTCCATATCCAGAATTCGGAGTATTTAAAAAAAAATGTTAATTTGTGACAAATTTTAAAAAAATTTGTTGACAAAAAACAGTATCTAGCTGGGATGTATATGTAGAAATATATCTTGCACATACAACAAAAGAAATAAAATATTCGTGTTATTTTGAAATCATCCCTCTCCCCTCGTTTGGATGAGATATTCCACACCCAGAAAAGTCAAAAGTCTCTGTCCCTGTTAATAAAACACGA